ACTTATTTTTTAAAACAAAATGTCTGTGTGTGGGGGTGGGCATTGTAAGGCAATGGGTTAAACCAATGCTTGGGACACCTGCTTCCCACATCAGAATGTCAGTCTCAGCCCCATTGCTTCCAATCCAGCTTCCTGCTAATTCACCCCAGGACCTGTGGAGACCTGGATGGAGCTAAAGGTCCTGACTACAGCTTGTCTTGTCTCGTCGCATCTCCTCTCATGTCCACTCCTCCCTCCCTCCCTCTCTCTCTTTCTCTTTCTTTCTCTTTCTGCTTTTAAGCAGAAGAAAATAAACATTTTGAAAAGATTCTCCCCAAAGGAGTGTTAAGCAAAGATTAAGAAATATAGTGCTAGAATTATACAAGGGTACAAATAGACTAATCTGGCTGCCCCTCTAGATTCCTTAAAGCAAATATGATGTTTCTTTTCCTTGAAATAGTGGTTCTGCACACATTTGTCATATGGCTGCCATAATGGTTTAAGTTTTTACACTGATGTCCAAAATTTTCACTGGTACCTTTTTATCAGTAGCTATACAGATATATCAATAGGTTCCAGAAAAACGGTGCAGACATGAAAAAGAAACGTGACACCAACATGCTTGCCACTGAGTGGATAAGGTTTACTGAGCTTTGGGTTGAGTATGGGGCAAGGGTGGATCTTTGGCATATGAGTGACACCTACAAAGCTTGAATATTTTGTGACTGGAGAAAAACAGAATGATCAGGCTGAATCATTCTTAATCTTCAAATTCTTTTAGGCTTCCAGTATATAAAAAATGACTATATCACCTTGGGGACACTACTAATGGTTTCAAATGAATTCTTGAAAAAGAATCAGTGGAACCGATCAAGAGAACAGAATCCCATAATATCTCATTACCTAAAATGTTTATATTTCACTACATTTTCTGATATAGTGATAAAAGTTAATTGTACAATTCCCAAAATAGAATGCTAGTGATCATTCTAACCTCTTAAAGTAAACATGAAAAAACTGGGCCATAATAATTTGAAATATCAAAATTATGATGCAGCCTTTTTTATTTATTTATTTTTTTTTATTATTTTTTCATTGGAAAGGCGGATATACAGAGAGGAGAGACAGAGAGGAAGATCTTCCGTCCCATGATTCACTCCCCAAGTGAGCGCAACGGCCGATGCTATGCCGGTCCGAAGCCAGGAGACTCTTCTGGGTCTCCCACACGGGTGCAGGTTCCCAAAGCTTTGGGCCGTCCTCGACTGCCTTCCCAGGCCACAGGCAGGGAGCTGGAAGGGAAGTGGGGCTGCCGGGATTAGAACCGGCGCCCATATGGGATCCCGGGCGTGCAAGGCGAGGACCTTTAACCACTTGCGCCACCGCGCCGGGCCCGATGCAGCCTTTTTTAAAAAAAATCAAAATCGCAGATTCATCAGGACAGAATAACTGCTCAGTTCTGCTACTCAAAAATAAGAGGGCCTGAAGCTTAAGTAAGCCTAAGTTTATTATCATTTAGGGTTTTGAAATATTTTCATGTGATAACTGCAGTATTATTTCATGACATTTTGTTATTTTGGCCATATACCTGAAGATATACAATATACTTCCAATCATGATTTTTCATTATAACTAATCCTAAATTAACTTATGACAAAAATAAAGCTGTAAAAATATGACAGCCATTATCAAAATACAATCACCTGCTCCCAGGCATAAGCAAGCAATTACAATTATTTAATAAAGATGGATGTTTAGTGTAAGGATGAAACTTATGGGCCTGCATGGTGGCTTTGGTGTCCCATGTGGCCACCGAATCTAGTCATAGCTGCTCCATTTACAATCCAGCTGCCTGCTAATAACCTGGGAAAAGAGCAAAGGATGTCTTGAGTCCTTGGACACCTGCACCCACATGGGCGACCTGGAAGAAGATCCTGGCTCCAAGCTTCAGATTGGCTCAGCCCTGGCCATTGCTGCTGTTCATGGAGTGAACCAGCACATGGAAGCTATCTCTTTCTTTCACTCTGTCTCTCCCCCAGTCTGTAACTCTTTCAATTAAGACAAATAAATCTTTTCAGAGGTAAGTGAAACTTAGATAAATGGGAAAACAGCGGCTAACACCTGCCACCACAGAGGGAGGGTAACCTAAGCACCGACATAAACAGCACTGCTAGAGTCTTCTGGCACAGAAAGTGACACATATCACACGAAATTCCTAAACACTAAAAGAGAATTAGAGCTTTCAAAACTATTTATAAGAAGCATTACAATATTTTTATATTAATGTGTTTAAGAAAAGCTTACGAAACGTACAGCCAAAGTTGCACCTATACGTTTACTGTTGTCCTCAACATAATGATCAAAAATGGATTGTGATAATATTAAATAGATGGCATCAAAGAAAATGATCCGAAAGGATTATTCCAAAGTAACCTGCATATTGGGTGGGTGAGTTGCAAAAAGGGGGGAGGGGAAATATTCTAACATGTGGCACAATTTAGAGACAGAGTTAGTCCTTGCACTGGATCATTTTTTCTTTAATGCAAGCTTGGGTCTGCCCTTTTTCTTGGTATCGGAAGCCCAAAGGAATGTGAGAGTTACCACTAGGAAAATGTGTCACATAGAAGTTTTCTCAGAAACTATGCTACTCAACACTCATGAGAGAAAAAGAAAGTCTTATTAACTTCTTCCTACTTTAAACAAGAAAGCTAAACTGACCAGTTATTTAATGAAAGGGTTTCTCAATACCAGTCACTACTATAAAGCAGGCCACTTCCTCTTCTAAACAGCACAGCAGGTAGGATCAGAATATTTACAGATCAAATCCATTCACAGGATAGGCATTTGGCACAGCAGTTGGGATACCACTGAAACACCCACATCCCATGTTGGAGTGCATGGGTTCAAATCCCAGTTCTACTCTGATTCCAGCTTCCCACCATTGTACAGCTTGGAAGGTAGCAAGTGATGGATGGCTCAAGGACTTGGGTCCCTGCCACCACACAGGAGATCCTGATGAAATTCTGAGCTCCCATTTTCAACCTGGTCCAGCCTGAGCTGTTGTGGGAATTGAATGAGTAAACCAAATGACGGAATCACCGTCTTGGACTCTCTCTTTTTCTTTTCCAACTTTCAAATACATAAATAAATATCTAAAAATATATATATATATATTAATGAGTATAACTCTAAGCCACAGACATGAACACTGCTACATACTAAGGTACCAATGTAGCTATAAAATATATATCCAAGATCTAGAGTTACAAAACTTTGGCAATTTTGATGACCAAGTGTAAGCATCATTCAACAATTATAATCGGTTAATAATTTATAAGAGCAATCTGAAACAAAAGATATATGGATGTGCTTATTCCATTTCAAAAACAATTAGCCCTGTAATGTTTTCACATAATTTTTTAAGATGAATGTTTTCAATTAGAATCATTTCATGATTAGTAAGTAAAAATGCATCCCCAAACCACTGCTGTAAAATCTTTCATCTAATGCTTAGAGACTCTGTACTGTGAAGTCTCTATAAACCAATACATTCTCAGGAAATTTCACTTGCAGGTTCCACTTTGATCTCCTAGAGAAACAGAGCAAGGGTTCTTGAGGGTTTATAACAACAATGCCACTTGTCACACAGAATCAAATTTTACAGTTGCACATGCAAGTGGGAGGGGAGCAGTGTGTGGCAAGAAAGAAGGTTATATTCACAATGAAAATTATGATATGCTAAACTCTATTATGAAGACAAATAGGAAAGTACAACTTCATTGTTGAAAACAATTTTCCCTCCTATCAGTCGAAGGATTTGTGCATCAATATTGCAGATGAACTGTTAATTACAAAATCAATTAAAAATTATTTCTAAAAACAGTCACGCGTCCCTAGCTCTCATGGGGGCAATTTGGGCAGAAGGTCTCATCTTGCTAGGACCGCGCCAAATCACAAACTCGTCATCCACAAGTAAGCAAAAGCAATCAGGTTTTTCATTTTTCAGCGCGGCTGAGCCCAGCCTGAGATTGATCGTCACATATGGCCCCAGAAAACAAACTGTCAATACCTTGAATGCTGCAGAATTTGAACAAATAGCCGTCCGCCCATTCAAGCCACTCATTGCATCCCATTTAACAGATTTTATTGACAGTTTCCTTCTTGTAATTAAAGGGAAAACTACTGGCCGGCAACCAAGATAAAGTTCAAAGATAGGGTCAAAACAAAAGCAGATGGAGGGGCACGGTGTGGCTGTCAGCGGTACACAGCATCAGAGCGTGTTATTGACATGCAGGTATCTAATGATCGGCATGTCATTAGGGAAGGATCTATCCTGAACTTTATGCAAATGCTAAGAGGGACGTTAAGACCACGATAAAGCAGTAGCAGAGGCACAAAGAAAAGAACAACAAAGCAACAATGATTTTTACTTATCAGAGGTTACTCCCCAATGTAGCACACTTCACTTCAGATGTAAAGAACACTTATTCCCATAATTTTTATCCCTCCTGCACAGGTAGGACCTTTCAAGAAAGTACTCCTTCAGCAGAATTTGACTTCTGGAGAATTCCAGAATCTTAAGAAACCTGCAACCTTTCATCAGCAAAATTTGAAAGCAAGTGGAAAGTTTTCATTGCCGAGGGGAAATAGGTTAATGTACAGTTATAATTCACTTGCTTTTATTTATGCACAAAGAACAATCAAGCGCATTTTGTCCTCAAAGTGTCCATTTATGCCACTTGTGCAAAAGCTTATGCTTTGTCTAGATCTAAGTTAATACATGCATAAAATAGTAAAAGTTTCACAGTTTTCAATAAGAAAACTGAAAGTTACTCCTGGCAACGGTATTTCTCTTCTTTCAAACTTTTCACTAGAAAGCTCCAGTGATTATAATTTTGCTGACTCATACAGAAATTTATAAACTAGGCCTAGCAAACCTCCCCTGCCCCCCGCAAAGAAGTTAAAGGAAAGGGTAGAAACTGACGTATTGAGCAAAGTACCAACAATCATGTCAATATGCCAACCTGAATTAGCAAGAGCTATAGCTTTGAGGGTGACAAATTCTTCTTTCTCCAGCTTCATGCTCTTGTATTTCTTTACCAGCTGCAGGATGGCGTTGTTGAGGTCAAGAAGGCCTGCTAATTTGGACTGGTCTTCGTCCATGATATAATCATCTGCATAGACAAGTTCATCTTCAAACGATAGAGATCGGTATACGACACCGAGGATCAAAATCTCCATCCAAGCGCTCTGCAGAAGGCTCATCTGGTCCGCCAGGGACAGAGTGGAGAAGCCTGCATGGGAAGAGAGGCAGGCCAAGTTACTATAAAACCAACATTTCACATGCAATATGCATCTCCTATGGTAGCGGGCTCTGTGTCAGAGCTCACAGCGATGCTGTTTCCACCGGAAGCCCTTAGCAACTTTTCCTGGTCACTTAGAGAGTGCAGTGTAAAAATAAAAAAAATCAGGTTCAGTTTGTTGGCATTTTTATACGTTAAAAGCACAGTTGAGCATAGCAGAGAAGTGATTTTCTTTCATCTGAGAGAAAACATATTCTCTTTCAATATACGTGATTTCTGGCCGAATTATTTAGGAACATGCTATGTGCAGTCAGCTTAACTACCTCACCTCTACCAACTACCTGTGATAAATCACATCAAAGTCAACAGAAAGCCAAAAAAACGAACCAAATAATTGGGCCTCACAATACTGTACAACTCGGAAGCATTTCTCTCTCACCGTCGCAGCAGATGATGGATTACAACTGGATAACATTATTTAGATGCTCTGCCTTCACTGACACTTAGCAGGAATTTCTTGTAATTTTCTATGATAGTTATTTACTTTTTAATTTTATTTGAGGGCCCGGCGGCATGGCCTAGCAGCTAAAGTCCTCGCCTTCAACGCCCCAGGATCCCATATGGGTGCCAGTTCTAATTCCGGCAGCCCCGCTTCCCTTCCAGCTCCCTGCCTGTGGCCTGGGAAAGCAGTCGAGGACGGCCCAAAGCCTTGGGACCCTGCACCCGCGTGGGAGAACCAGAGGGAGTTCCTGGCTCCTGGCTTTGAATCAACATAGCACTGGCCGTTGCAGTCACTTGGGGAGTGAATCATCGCACGGATGATCTTCCTCTCTGGCTCTCCTCCTCCTCTGTATATCTACCTTTCCAATAAAAATAAATAAATCTTCGAAAACATTTATTTGAAATGCAGATAGATACAGACCTACAGACTTTTAAAGAACTCCCATCCAATGGTTCATTCTCCCACATGCGTGCAACAGCCAGGACTTGGCCACGCCCGAACTAAAAGTAAGGTCTTCAGCCTACCCCACCCCTGCAGGGGACCAGGACCCAACCACTGCGCCCATCACCAGCTGCCTCCAACAGCATGCATTTGTAAGAAGTGGAAACTGGGAGTCCCAAGACAAGATGTGGGCAGCCCAAGTGCCATCTTCATTGTTTTGCCAAGAATGTGTCCTGAATTCCCCACCGAGAAATTATGCTTATTGTTATAAAAAGAAAGTGGAAGACTTGGCAGCCTGGCCTCTGCACCAAATAGAAGACTACAATAAAATTCAGTTATTAGATATAACTTTGGCTATATCTTAGTAGGAAGGCTAGGGGGGGTTCCTGATTGTAAATAGTGGCTCCACTCAACTACTGGATGTGTCACCTTGAGCCAGACAATTATTTGTACCTTAATTTATGCCTGTGGGAAACCGAAAATAATACCCCCTCGACACTCATTCATTATATATATCCCACAAATGGTGCAGTGCTGTGTTATTTTTCTCTGGAATATCTGGCTATTATTTCAATTCTTTTTTTTTTTTTTAAAGATTTATTTTTATTATTTTTTCATTGGAAAGGCGGATATACAGAGAGGAGAGACAGAGAGGAAGATCTTCCGTCCGATGATTCACTCCCCAAGTGAGCGCAACGGCCGATACTATGCCGATCCGAAGCCAGGAGCCAGGAGCCTCTTCCGGGTCTCCCACACGGGTGCAGGTTCCCAAAGCTTTGGGCCGTCCTCGACTGCTTTCCCAGGCCACAGGCAGGGAGCTGGAAGGGAAGCGGGGCTGCTGGGATTAGAACCGGCGCCCATATGGGATCCTGGGCGTGCTAGGTGAGGACCTTTAACCACTTGCGCCACCGCGCCGGGCCCTATTTCAATTCTTTATTACAAATCTGACCTGCATCCACATGGGCGTATTAAAGTCCCTCTCGAGTTTGCAAACACTTATACTTTTTTTTTTTTAAAGAAACTGCAATTTTATAGGCAAGGATGGAGAAGTACAATTAAACTCACTTCAAGTAAAAACGTTTCCATTGCAGAGGGATGCATTTTGTATTCCAGAAGGCTATCTCAGTGAAGTACCTGCTGATCAATTATTTTTTCCCTGAGCATCTTATAGGAGAAATGTTCCTTAAGCCTTCACCCTCTCCACGAATTCTGAAGAAGCTCATTCCCCACCATGATACCAGAGGCCAGTGGTTCTACAAGAACAGCAATTCTATGGAAGGGGGAAGTACATGCTTTTAATAATGCCATAGATGAGATTTATATTTACTCTCTTCTGAAATATTAGTCTCTGAACTAGAAATAGTCATCACCCCACACCTTTGGAGGTAAGTGTTTATGGTCACTGTTGCTCTTCTTATTCATATGAAATTGTTCAGATATACCACAATATTATAAACTACTGTGGCACAATCAAGAATGCATTCTGATTTATGAATGAAACTGATGATTGGCTGTTTGGCTCCCTTAGTATATGCACATAATAAAACCACCAAAAGGAATTGAACTGAGCTTTTTAGAGGAAGATCTAAGCATGTGTTTATAAGCATTTCTTCCATTTTTTTCTAATCAGGATGCTTACATAGTGATTGTCTGGTTTTCTCCCCTTCCTCTTCTTTGTCATTACAATGGGGAGTTAAATTAATAAATACCACCTTAGCACTAGAGATGTCATAAGTGGTAACACTGTAAACAGGGATTGGAAAGAGAAGAATAGAGAGATCAACTGAGTGAACGTGGCTTCAAGCACTTTTGAATTGGGGAACATTATTGTCATTCATGCACCACCATCAACAACAGCATACGCACTACCCTTCATTTCTACCTGCCCCAGAAAAAGCAGGATATACGGCCAGGTATCTAACTGAAGGAAAGGAACCAAGGGAGAATTCCTTGGGTTAATTAAATATGAAAAAAATAATGATAATAAATAAACCCTTGCATTGGAAAAGTGAAGGGCAGCAAGAAATGGACCTCTTCTTTCCGCCCGAGTTCTGTTGTTGCGACTCCGGCTGCCAGGCGGAAGTTCCCCGCGGCAGCAGGTGGATGAGCCTGGGGTCGGCAGCACCTCCCCCTGACAGCCCTATTCTCTCGCCCAGACACTGCTGTTAGTAAATAGATTTACACATTCTCCAATCTCCACACATCTTTCTGCCGAATAATTAAAAGCAGGATGATTAGTTTATTGAGTGGAAGGAGGAACTTTTTTATTGAGGTCCATCCACGATTTTATCAGGGCCAGCACTTTTACGGTTGTCAGGGGGGTGCAGGCATCCAATTTTTCTTATCTGCCTGATTAATACAAACGCTGTTTCAGGACGCATTAATTAACAGATACAAATCTACGTTCTCATGGAAGGATCAATACGGAGAAGAAAAGAGGCATCAATGTGAATTTAGTGCTGATGATGGAGAAGGCACGCTATTGACATTTACGTGCACTGAAACTTGAAAGTTGCCCGGGGGAGGGGTGAAAAGGGAGGCCCCTTTTGTCCCTGTGATTTACAAATTAACAACTTTCCAACCACAGCAACATTTCACACACTTCCTTGGGGTTTCATTAAGCAAAAAGCCATAAAATCTTTTTTAAGGTGGATCCTGCCATTTGTTTCTTCTGTGCGAATGTCTGTGTACGTGTGTGCGTTTGTCCTTCCTGCAACTTAACTTTTTCCTTTCCTTGCATTTCTCTGTGAAATAAAAGGAAAAAAGGAAAAGATTTAAAAAGGGCTCTGTGTGTGTGTGTATGCGCACGCCTGCATTTGTATTTGGTTTTGCTCAGGATATGGAATGATGCACGCAGCACAGAGAGGTTGGACAAGTTTGCTAGTTTGATATCTTCAAGTCTGTTGTGACTGATGAAACAAAATGTTATTTCTGCCAAACTGTAGGAAAAAAAAAAAAGATAATCCATGATACACAGAAGAAAACAAGAGGCTGGACTTTTGTCTCCCTGTGGCCCAGATTACTGCCACAAAATTTAACCCTTTACTCTCACACCTCCGTAATTGCAAACTGGCATCGAGAACACTTTCTGACCACCTACATGCCCGGGCAGCAGTCAGACAAACCTGTTTATGACACAGTCATGTCCCTGCGGTCACCAAGAATGTCAGACATATGGAACACCTTTTATTTTAATAACGTGAAAGTATTTAATCCGTCCTGTAGGTTTGCTAATTATATGGAACCTACATAGAGGCACATGGGTAAGAATAATATCTTTATCAGGAGGCAAGAACAAAGTCTGAACACTTCAATGACCATGCCTTAAAAAAAATGCATGCTTTAATCAACTGAATCAAAAAAAAAATGTTCAAAACATAGGACTGTCCTATTGGCAAGCACACGCAACTACACCAGGATTAATGATTTGTGTATGCTTTTACCAGGTACTAAACAGGGCATCGTGGCATTCAGGCCAGAACGAGTGGTCCTCCCATCTGCTATAATTATAGACTACAGCTTAGGACTAATATTGATACGTAATATCTTTGGAAAGAAATCATTTTCCAAATAAAACCTGATTTGCAACTGTTGAGTTCTTTGAACATCATGTTCTGTCCATTTCAGAGTCTTTAGCATTCGTGTATGACAGCTTATAGTTTTATATGTTCAGCCATGGGACAGTTTTTTAAAATAGACTGAAGCCCTGGTAAGGTTTTTTGTTTCCTTTCCCAGCCACGACCCATTCCCAGAATAACGCTGACAATTCTGATCTCTCTTCATCTCTGTCCTGGAGCCGATGCCATTTCCTGTATCTCTGGCATTTTGCAAGCGACATGACTCTCTGCTTTGACCTGCAGTTAAACAGCAGGTTTGTCTGCAATCCAGTGTGTTCCAAACAATCCAGGCGACAGTTGGAAGAGCATCACTCCGTGGGATCGCAAGGCTGCCTGAGAGGCAGCTTCCCCACGTACAGGCCGGAGGAGAGCACGTGTGGTGCCACCCTCTTGCCTTCTTCTGCTGGAAACTTCGAGGATGACAGTGGTGC